TATCTCTACCCTCATGACAGAGCTGCTTGGCAGCCCTAAATAGGAGATTTGTCATCTTTCCTCCTCTATCCCTTTCATGTCCTTCAGGGAATCTCAACACAAATGCCTTATTTCAAGGAAACAATTTTTTTCTGCCTCTGGCACCTCTTTTTGCCTTTCTACTCATTGTCACTTTTGCTCTTTTCACCGCTCTTTGGCAATTTCATCAGTATGTCCCATTACTGTTGTGAAGCACCCCTGAGCATCTGAGAAAAAAAAAGAACAAAACCCAGAGAATAATCACTCTACTTGACGCAACATATTTTACCACCTATCACAGCTGAAATTATGAAAAAGCTGTTCTAGATGACAGAATAATTTCTTCATGTTCCAGATATTCAGTTTCTCTTTCTTGTGCAGGACTATTAGGGACAGAGTAAGAGAGAAAAAGTGACCCAGAAGGGTGCATCAATAAACAATATGTGACCTCACTGACAACCATAGACTTGAAATAGCCAGCATAACTGGGACCATGGCATATGGTGCTCTGTTCTCAGTGCTATCTTCTGTAATAACACTGCTTACACTATGGAAGGTCGACCCAGATATATCAGGTTTTACCACCTGTTAACAATGCAAACTCTTCTTGTTTTAGCAATCTGTAAAATGGTAGAAGACCAGTTAAAAACATATCTCTTTCACATAACACTTGACCATCATAGACCCAAGCAAGAAAATAAAGGCTGTAAAGTATTAATCTTCTCAAACTCCAAATCTGAGAGATGTCTTATGTGAGACATTTTCATTCAGGTTAATTCAGCTTTCATAGAAACCAGGAACACAACTATAATGCTTACCTAGAGATGATCAAAATCTAATTCATAAAGTAACAGATCCTTTTTTTTTTTTTTTTTTTTTTGTATTTGGATTTGTTATTCTGGGAGGTGTAAATGTATACAAATAGAACAGGAGATCAAAAGCCCAAAGACACAGTTTCTCACTTTCTGGCCCAGAGGTTACCTTTGATCTAACCCACACAGCAGATTACAGTGTTTAGGGGCACATGCCATCTTCACTCATGTATATAGTGGTGAACAAATTATTTTTTTTCCACTGTTTAAAAGCCTACTTTCTGATGTTACGTGTCAGTTGACAGAAGATTATCATTTGCTCTATAAAGGAAGTCTATTTATCTGTGTGCATTAGTTCAGTCAAGATTTTGATTAGGAGTTCTGAATTGTGTCCACACCTTTCATCTTGCAAAGCGAACACAAACAAAAGCAAAAGCCTCGAGCTGTCCCATCTAGAATCTGATTTGTCTGGTGGATCTGATGAACCACTTCTTGCTACTGGAGAAATGAAAGTTGTACAAACCATTCTCTTGGATTTTTCTACAGCATTCACCATTTCTGACTGGGGCACCATTATCTGTGATGTAGTATCAAAGGTTCAAGTGAATCATTAAAATTACTTGAGCCCTTCCTGAGTAAGTCATTAGCATAATACCAGTTGGTGAAATGCACACAATGCACTTCTTTTCTTGGCTTTTAAAAAATATATTTCTTAATCTTTTTTGAGTATCAACATACAGGTATCAGCTAAACCGAAATACAGTTGAATATACAGCACTGCCTCCAAATATTTGTATGCATTTCTGTTGCCAAGATGACTTAGCACAGGATGAAATCACAGGCAGAAAGGGTATCGACTGGCAGATTTAAAAAACCCAAAGTTTGCAATGAAAATATAATCTACTTTATCATAAAGGATTCAGATGTGAATTGATCACCCCAAGTCATATTTAGGAACAATTATGGTTCTTTGTAAAAAGTACATCTAATATTATTGTCCATCTTCTCTCTTTACCTAGAAGACTGCCTGTTCCAGTGGACATTGACCTGCATCAGTTATTGCTTACACTGCCTCTTGGCTGGACTAGGGGAAGCAATATAACAGGATGTAAATCCTCTAGCACTTAGAAAAAACTAATTAATATAAAATGCTGCAGGCATCTGCATCTCCTCAACAATGCAGACTACACCTCTGGTGTAACAAGCAGAGCAAACCCATTTTCTATGTTGACTTTGCAGAGAAATAAGACATTAAATTAAAAAAGGGCCTGGTCTGGAACCCCAAAATTCCCAGCTGTCTACAATGAAGACTGAGATGTACAGTTATTGCCCTTTGATGCAGAGAAACTTTTTGAACTTCAAAACTAGAACTCTCCATTTAAAACCTCTCCACTGCAGCAACAGAACAGGCCATGGACTGCATAAATTTTGCTCCCTGAAGAAAATATTTAAGTAAATCCATGAACAGTGGTCACACTCAGCGTATCACGCAGAGAACATCTCAGATTTTGTGATGTCAAGTGCAATATGGAACCTACAGAGAGTTGTCATTAAATAGAAGACAGATGCTTTGCTAATGCTGTAAGAACTATTGTCTGTGTCTGTGTAAACTTTCCAGTAATGGTGGAGTCCAGAAGTAGGTGACATTGGAGATGCATTTTCATCTGACCAGGTTTTGTTTGAGACCCATGATTCAGTATCAGAGTCCCTACAGGTACCTGCTGACTTTCCAGAGAAATGGTTCAAGTACCTACTTCACTATCATGCACAGGCTAGTTTTGACTGGTTGTAGACTGGCATTTGGCATCTTCTCTTTTGGTCTGTGGTACTACTCGATCCAAATTTGCCAATGACTTTTCAGCAAGAACTAACTCAGCACAGCATGCTGTCTTCAAAGCAGAGCATAGGGGGAACTGTACTGCAAATCTGACATGTAAAACTGGAGAATGGTAAAACACACAGTGCCTTTTGCAAATAGGTGAAATAACATCACATAACTGGAACAGTTTCAAAGATGGGGCAAAGTCTAGTTTCAGTTCAAATGTGCGCTTGAGCCTGTCAATTCATAGCCCAAGAATCACCTGGGCTGTGCTGTACATCTTAAATTATCTAATGGAGTTATTAAATGTGGTTTTCATTCTTACAACATACATTTTTTTAAATTGGGTGCATATACACACCGTATTTTAAAATAAATATATGGAAGATACACGGATAGATTTAAAATCAATTCATTTATTTGGATACTCTGCTTGTCTACTATCATTGTGTTGCTCCTTCTAATTTTCCCCTATCTTGACCAGAAAATTCAGTGCTACCATAAGTTCTTAAGATATTGCATGTTAAGACAGTGCACGTCTTCACAGAGGAGAGGGAAATATAACCATGGACCAGAAATTATGCCATCTGCCTCTACGACCCATGACACCAATCAGGAAGGTGATTCAAGCTGCTAAGTGTGCAAAGGAGCACTGGGTACTGACTGTTGGTAAAGATGCATAGATTCAAGATTGACAATGTGTTTCTCAGACAGTATGGTCTAGGGTAGTTTTAATGCTCTTACTCTTCTCTGATTTAAAAAAAAAAAAAAAAAAAAGGGGAGGGGAAAGGCCAAATCCACGAAACAAATACATTTAGAAACCCAGTTCTTACAGTGTGTTCCTGACTGTACCAAACAATGCTTGTAGCTCAGACCCATGATTTCTAAATAAACACTTTCTGCTCCTATCTTGCAACATTTTTTTTTGAGTGAACAAAGGACTTTGGAACAGCAGAAATTACTAATGTCACTGCGTATTCCCAGAGCAGTTGAATTGCAGGTTTGTTTAAAAACCTAACATCTTATTTTAAATCAAAACTTTTTTTTTCACTGTATAATGTCACCTATAAAGTAGAAGAGAACTCACATGGATAGAAATACTGAAGTCAGTGTAAGGACTTGTGAGTAAATTTTGAAAACAAATATTATGCTTAATTCTTAATGACTTCCATCAAGGCATGAAAGTTTGCTGTTTAAAAAAAAAAAAAAAAATTACTATGGTTCCAGTTCTGCTGCTGCTTTTTAAATTAAAATTAACGTAAGGGAGGAAGTACACTGAGGTAGACAGAGATATAAGGAATGGATAGATCTTAAAAATATATTAATTGGTGTGTAGATACATATCAGTATCATATGTAGTGATATGAGTTATCACTCAAAAACAACACTTTGTTTCTTTTTGGTTCTGTACACAAATATGTATCAAATAACAAGGCTGGACCAAACAGTAACGTATACATTGTGCAGTGGTCAACTGTAAACAGAAGAACTGAATTTTGCTGCTAAATAAGATTTTTCTAGTACAATGCTCATCCTTTTGGAAATCATTTAATTGACTATAACTAGACTGGAGCCGTATCTCAGTAATGTAAAATTTTTAAAATAACTAAATACCACTGAAAAGAACTCACAATACAGTTTAGGGTGCAATTTGAAAATACAACTACTCACACTTGCTTAAAATCACAGTTTATCAATCTAGGATTATATTGATCATAATGAAGTTAATGAAAAAAACCTTTTATTGGTTTGAATGGACTATGCCTTTTAATTTACAATGACCTAAAATCTAATTATGAACATTACTTCCACATCAATGTTCCCTTGAAATCTCAACTATTATACACAAGTTCAGAGATACATCATCAGGGATTGGCACACATAGTAAAATAAAGTGAAAATATGATAGTTTCCTTAACTTACACTAACAGTGACTTGGGATTCTCCCCCAGGATATTTAAAATCTTATATAAAAGCAAATTTCACTTTCAAATATGCACCCAAGAAATGTCACAGGTTAGTGGTAATGGCATAAGTAAGAGTTTTGTGGGGAAAATTTTTTTAGCGTAAGGAATTCCTCTAACCTACTGAGGTTAAGAATTGCTTGAGTAAATCAGGTAGTGGCCTCGAATTTCTAAGCCCTCTTTTTCCTACAGTGCATGGAATTACTCAGACCATTTTTCCCCCCCCACCTTCCCATACTTAGTGCATATCAATTCTGGGCTCAGAACAAAGAAAAGAGAACAGCAAACAGTTCTTTCATGGTAAAGCAAACATGCTCAGTTATAAAGATACTGGAACCAAAAAATATTAATCGTTTTATTTTGTATATATTTTCTTCAATTTATTAATAATCTTTTATATATATTTATTTATGGCTTTCAGCAAAGACAAAAGAAAAAATCTAACTCATCCCCGATCATACAGTTATTGTAAGAATCAGCTCTATAGTCTTCTCAGCAGCAGTAAGATCCAACATTTTTCATTAATACATTTCATCCTGTACAGATGTGAGATTTCATACTTATGGGCTTACTTATGTACAGAGAAAATAGGTCAGTTCTGAAACTAGCAACAGACCTTTATATTACAGGAATGTGAGTCATTTGTTTCTTAATCTATGTACACTCATACATACATATATATATATATACGTATATAATATTATACCCTGTACCACTTTTTTAAATTAACATACAAATCCTAGATATTGTCCACTCTATTACAAAGTCATTAAAAATTATTTATGGTTTCACTGAAAGACCATGTGAATTAATATTTCATCTTAGTGCTTAAAATAAAATAAAAATATATATAAAAATATTTCACTACTAACCCCATTTCTCCTATCAAATGTAAACCTTAAAGAGTTTGAAAGATCAGTATATGATCTTAATTAACTGACAGAATTTGTTAGTATTAAAATAATATAAGGGATATTGTACTGATTAATAAATGGTCTTGCAGCGTATCCATAATGTTCCAAACACTTTTAAACAATCACTTCCCCATTTACTACTCTGGGCCCCTTAAATTAATGGCAGCATCATGTTAATGGGTTGATTACATTGATTTTTACTGGTGAGTGGGAGTCAGCAAAAACTGGAAGATTTTTCTTAAATTTTTATTTGATGTACCACTTTAGTAAAAGGCGTAACAGGCAGCATGGGTTCAAGCTCTGTTAGCTTTAGAATATTTACTTGGCTCTCAAGTACATCTGGATTCACTGCATTAAGTAGTTTGTGATGTTATTTAATTTTGCCATGCATTGTTAAACTCAGCATTAATGGGAAAAGAACTCCTTTGCATTTACTTCCTTAACATGAGTCAGCTGAGTTTTAAAGGAACAGAATATATGTTTGTATCATATCCATAATGTTATTTTTTCAATCAGTTAAATTATGACACAGTTTCAATCTATTCAATGTGACAAATCAGGCACAAATGATTATGAAAGAACTTTTTTTGTGGATAAGATAACGTGAAGGTTTGAGCAAACAAAACAAAACACTCACAAAACAGTATGCTTTAACCCTGCTTTCTGTCACCATTTCCTTTCTGTTTTGAAGACATAAAAAATAATAAACTTCGTACCTATGGGTTATGTTTGACACTACATGCTTTAGGATATACTAACCATTTAATTACGATATACACAGAGCAAATCGTGCATTTCCTGACAGACCTGATGCTATATTATATTTATTTTTGTAAATTAACACCACAGTCAACTACAAAACTACAGTGAAGACACAGAAAGCACCTGAAAGCCTAAATCAAGCTGTGGTTTACAAATAATCCTTTAAGTGAAAAACCTCTCTTCTAGACTTAAACCAGAGATTCAAAGTCAGCATTATAGGAATTTTAAGGTAGACACAATTAATGAATGGTTATTATTTTCTAAGATACTGTAAAGCCTTTTCCTACAACGGCTGACTGAACCTATTTTTATCATTTTTTATTTTTTTTTCCAAAGCATGCATGGAATATTCTCAGATGCTATTGAGGACAAGGAGAAGAGAAGTGATGGTATTGGTGAAGTACAAGCAATATGCAGGATCAAGCGTACAATTTTGCATAAAACATTGCATGTAAAAGTAACACTGTAGGTTTAAAGCCATTGTATTACAATTCAATAGTTGTGTTGTACTTAGCTTTAACAAATTTTAAAACTGTAAATTTTGAAGTGAAGAGCAGAACCTAAATTCCCAAACAAAGACCTTGCAATGGTACACCACACAGCAGCTATTTTTGCTTGGGTCTAAAAAGTTATTTACAATGGCATTTCTATAGTCTTTGTAAAAGTCTTCAGCAAAGTGAGTATCAAAGTCCACCCAGTTTTCTGAAACAACAGAAGGGTTGACATGTCATGAGTATTAAACCTATCCAGAGGAGTGCCAGTGCCAGCTTTTTGACTGCAGGTGTTTGCAATTTATTTCTTTTACAATCTAATTCCCAACAGAAAGTGCTAACATATGAAATGCAATGGAAAAACTAAATTCTTCACAAGAAATTAACGTGTATGCAATAAATGAAATAACAAAGGTTTCAAAATACCACTTGATCAGGGCTATGTCAGGTAGATTGATATTTCTCTTTTTTTTAATATACACTCGTTTGAAGTTTGTTATTGTGTTGACACTTTTACCATGAAAACAGCAAACCTCATAAACAGAGAAATACGTTAGACTGATTTTAAAGTCAACATGTTAAAAATATCACAGCTGAATTTAGACTTCTTTAATGCAAGAAAGGAAGATATGAATTCAAACAAGTTTTTTTATTTTTTTTATATATATATATATATTTATATATATATATAATTTTTACATTCGTTACGTAGGGCAAAGCTGTCTAAAGTATTTTTCTCATAGTAGACTGCTGGGGTACATTAGGAAACAGGCTAAAACAGTTCTGGGGACAGCGCTTGGTTCATTACAAGTCTGTTGCTCACAGTTACCAGGGATCATAAGTTTGACGCGAACCGTGGTTTGTCTCCCTCGGGCTCTGTGCTTAAGACTGTGGAAGAATCCCTTTGCAGGTGGGCTGAGGGCGGCACGGCCCCCCGGTTTGGGGGGATGGCTCCCGAGGACATCTGTCGGAACAGCGAGACGCGCTGGGGGACGGTGGCCCGGCCAGCCAGGGGCACGCTGGGGCTGGGGGCAGGCTGCGGGAGGGAGGCGAGGGATTCCCCCACGGTGGGGTGAGGCCGGGCGATCAGGGTGGAGATCTCGTGGGGCAGGGAAGGCTGCGAGGCAGAGAGGGGCCGCACCTCCCGCGTCAGGTTGGTGTTGTGGAGGGCCTGGGTGCTCTTGTGGACCTCGTTCTTCTGCGCGGCCCCCGGGGGCTGCTGGGGCACCTGTGGCTGCTGCTGCTGCATGAGGGAGAGCTGTGAGGCGGTTGGAGAGGAGTACTGGAAAGTTCGGCCGGCCAGAGGGCTCTGTACCGGTGGGCTGCAGATGGCGGTGGTGTAGGAGCAGGGCGAGAGGATGACGGCCTGCTGCGGGGTCTGCGTGCTGGGCGAGGGGGAGTGCAGGTTTCCGTGGGGCAGGCTGCTGGCAGTGTACACGGGAGGGGACTGCATCCTGTTGCGCGACGACGAGGCGGAGGTGCTGGAGTTCAGGACGGGCATCTGCTGCAAGCTCACCGGGGCGATGGTCTGCACCGTCTCTCGGTCATGCTTCACGATCTGCTTCAAGATCTCGTTCTCCTGGTTGTTGAACACCCCGGTGTTGAGGTCCTTCTGGAACTTCTGCAGGAGGATTGAGTTCTTCTTCCCTTCACAGAGAGGCAGAAGAGTTAGCGAGCCTGGCACACAGGGGCAGATCCCTGCTCTGACTGCATTCCAGCACCCATCACCGAGGGCTACACATCGTAAAAGCCTCAGCGAGCACCGGGCTGAGCAGGGGCCACAGCCCGGTGACCGGCACACTGCAGCAGGCTGTGCCACACCAGGCACTGCCACAGTGGCTCACGCTAGCAGGCAGCTCCTGACCGCTGGCCTCCAGGCACTCCCAGACGCCCCTCTCTCTGCCCCAGCACGGCAGGCTTTTGCAACAGCACTGTGCTCAAAGCCATCTGGACTTTCTATGCCTCTTCACTTGTACTGTATTGCTTTTACTACCATTATGCTGAAAATGTAACCATGGCAATTTACTGAACAACACGGTGGAAAAAGCCATTGGGCTCTGCATGCATAACATCTTTCTCATCGCAAAAATGTCCTAATTTCCACTAAACTGTTACATAAGTTATAAATACACCTGCCATCTAGCACGTTCCCTGGAACTAATTATTAGACAACAGAAACCAGTGACCACTAGCTTGCAAGAAATCACCTTTTAAAATGTTTGTGAACTAACATGAACTCATGGACAATGTGACACCTGCATGCACAATAAAGACTACTGTACACAGTGTCCTTATGTCTGCTTGATGGCTCTTAGTGACTGCAAAATGTAGACACTATTTTGTGTCATCATGTGCACAAGAACACAATTGCACTCAATTGTTCCTTTTTTCAATAAAACACAACACTTCAATGGGATTGCTACTCCAAGAGCAGACTGGACTTTACTACTAATACTAATACTACTAATATTACTACTTATATAAGCACTATTATTAGAGTTGGACTACATTTCTAGAGAGACTTGAGAGACGAATTGTAGGAGTTTGAAAAGTCTTGACAAGATGAATTAATTCACAAAATGCTCACAATCTGCAAAATACTGAAACAGGCCTATTAAATATTAGGAACCTGTATACCTGTATTTCTTTACTCTTGCTATATTAAAGAAAACATACTTTCTTCCAAATCACATCTTCAGCTTAGAACAGACAGCACAACGACACTGTCCTGCAATTCTTTCTGCATTCAGTTTGAAGAAACTGCAGAAATAACTGTATTGAGAAAGAGTGATGTGTGGAATTCCTTATACTGGAGTTTTCTTGTGAAGTTGGGGAAACACTACCACATGGGATAACTGCATTTTAAAACCAATGTCAGTAATGATGGTCAGAATGCAGTTCTTCCAATCAAAGACCATGTATTTTACCTAGTATGTCCTATTAGAGAGGTCAAGAATGTCTGGATACATAACAGCAGACTTCGCACATGCCGTTTTGATAATCTGCCATATCCTTCTGCCTTTCACTTGGATATTATTGGCTTGCTTTTCTGATTGTAAGTAGATCTGAGTAATGCCAGTGTGCAGTCATCAATGCTAGCAGTGCCCATGTCGTGAGGAAAATGAGAGCCCTACTGCAAAGGATTAATTCCCTTCAACAAACATGGGGTTTCTGAGTGCTGAGAGGCTTCAGCTCTTCCCAGCATTATAGATGTCATCTGTAAACAACTTATGCAGGAAAATACTGCACATGAAACAGCATAAATCTTATCAAGTGCCGAGGGCAGCAAAAGAAATAAAGGATTAATAAATAATACTAATGATAATTAAAGTATACACAATAATCCTCAGAGAAATATGACCATTCTCTAAAACGCAAAGATTTTCATTTTTTAAAAGTGAGATTGCAGAATTTATTGTCTGGACATGTCTTATTCATAGATCAAAACAACATCTGCTGCAGTGTAACAGAAACAAAGCTTTTACAAAGGGTTTAATCTGGGCATTTTATGCCTGCAACTCAGGGCAAAGAAAATTAGGAAGGTTTTAAGAATTCCTAATAAGGAAAAAAAAATAATACCTATCCTGTCAAGTCTATCAATTGCCACTGTTTCAAAGGCTCTTCTCATCATGGGGTACTCTTCCAGAACCTCGTTGAAGTTGTCCACTGAGAGAGAATACAGGCGACAGTATGTGTCTGCTCGTACACTGGCAGTTCGACGGCCCTTGGTCAAAAGGCAAATCTCTGCGGAGAGAAAAATTCAACACACACAGAAAACAAAGACGCCAGTGAACCATGTGAAACTTAAAGGTTAGGAAGTGACTCAGTGCCAACTAGTAATAATTCAGTACTCAGCAGCAATTTTTCTATTGCTGTTTACACAAGGTTGCAGGGACAATTCTGAAGGTGTTTGATTCTATGTTTCCTACTCTGAAAAAATAACTTGTCCTTTAAGAGCCCTGCTTATAGGTTTTCTCAGTCTGGACTCTGATTTTATCAAGCCTTTTTAAAAAAATTCAGGTTGTAAGAAATTATCTATAAGCTATCAAACACAGTTTGCTGACTCAATTAACCCAAATATTTCTACTGATTTTTTTTTAAATATCCAGCTGACATAGAGGACCAATTCCTTCAATCATTCACCACATTTACTGAACTCATTTAATACATGATCTAATAGTATTTGAATATAAGACCTGTTTTAAGAAAAACTGATTCAAGCATGAAAATGCCTTCTGTCTCCTTGGGCTTTATGTCCTAGGTATTTTGGAAGGGTAAACTTATGATTTTAGACTTTTTTTTCTCATTTGGCTAAGAAACAGAGCTCTTTCAACCTCTGCTTAACCCATCTGATTAGTCTAATAGCCTTTCTCTGCAAGCACATCCAACAGGAATTCACCATTTTGGAACAGAGGAGACCAAAGCCATATGCAGAGTCCCAAGAAACAGCCCCAAACTTATAACTGCTTATTCCCAAACATGCAGGAAGAGGGTTACAGGATAGAAGCCAAAGCCAATGTCTAAGGCTTGTAACAGTATAACTTATCGGGTAGAATATTTATTTATTTATATTAAAATACAAAAAAATTAAAAAGCGAATTGCAGAAAGAAGTGTTTGAGTTGATCCCATTTTCAAACTGGGTAGTAAGAACACACTTAGGAATACCAAAAATTCTTGGTTCAGGCAGGATAGAGACAGATTCCCTACCCAGTTCTAGCAGTCAAGAGCAGCACATTCATATTTGTTCGTATTTCAATACTATCAAGGAAACTGCCACCTATCCTGCTTGTGTGTCTATTACAAATGATCATTCTCAGTCTCAACCAAACTATCATTCTCAAGTTTGGAAAACCAAATATTCTTCATCAACTAAAATAAACAACCTTGCAGGCTTTACTTCAGATCTATAAAGTGCTAGCATAGTTCCTTCTTTTTTTGTATGTCTTCAACAAAATAATTTTTTTATTATCTAGAATGTAAAGAACCTTGACTGTTTTTTGTCTCATACTTCTTACTGAAGAATTTCCACATACCACCTGGCCCTGAAGTCTTAGGGGCTAAAATGCTTAGATAATAGTGGATAAATCAAAGTAAATTAACATGGGACCAGTACTAGCACAGAATGTACTTAAACCCCAGAAGCTTCGGGGAGAATTTATAGACTAATGGGTATTGTAGGAGTCTTGACCTAATGTCCCTCATGAAACTTGATGTCCCTGAAATGACAGTTCACTGTAAAGAGCCAGCCAGGTCAAACAGTAGTCAGTCCTCTCCTCTTCTATCCCCTAGCTCATCCTGACCCCTTCTCCTTTGATTGAACCTACTGCATTTTAGTTACAAGAGTGAGAATGACATTTTGCCCAAAGGGAGCAGTTAAATGCAGTGAATGCCTGCTCCATTTCCTAAGATATTCTTTACACCTCACACAGAATAAAGTTTTACAATACATTGTTGAATTTAGAGATAACTAGCTGGAAAATCTATGTGACCAACTATCACCTTGTAATTTTCAGTTTTCTTCACTGAAGATTACTGCAAATAATACTAGAGACATAAGGAGGTGCCTTCTGCTACACTCAATAAATAAAAGTACTTGAGTCTGAAAAACATTACATGCCCAAAACAAAACAAATGTTGACTATGGATCCCAACCATCCTGAAGAGTGTAAACAAAATGGAGAAAGTACTATTTTCATTATTATTAATCTAAACCCCTTTATTTTAGATTACTTCAACAGGAAAGATGGTAAGAAACCATAAGAGACAATGTTAAGACTTCATCCCAGGACAGTGAGACTATGAAATTAATCGATATTAGAATAAATATAATTGGTTTTCTCCTTCTTTCATCTTCTATTATTCTTGTCAAATAGAAGATCAGGTTCAAGAACATCTAAGGAAACTGAAGGTATACAAGTCTGTGGGACCTTAGGAGGTGCATCCAGGGGTCCTGAGGGAACTGGCAGATGAAGTGGCTAAGCCACTATCCATCATATTTGAGAAGTGGCAATCCAGCAAAGTTTCCACTGACTGGAAAAGGGGAAACATAACCCCTATTTTTAAAAAGGGAAAAAAGTATGACCCAGGGAACTACAGCCCAGTCAGTTTCACTTCTGTGCCCAGCAAGATCTTGGAGTGGATCCTCCTGGAAACTATGCTAAGTCACATGGAAAATAAGGAGGTGATTTGTGACAGCCAACATGGCTTCACCAAGGGCAAATCGTGCCTGATGAATTTGGTGGCCTTCTAGGATGGAGTTACAGTGTTGGTGAATAAGGGAAGAGCAACTGACGTCATCTACCTGGACGTGTGCAAAGCATTTGATACTGTCCTGCACAACATCCTTGTCTCTAAGTTGGTGAGACATGGATATGATGGACCGCTCAATGGCTAAGGAATTGGCTGGATGGTCAAACTCAGAATGTTGTGGTCAATGGCTCAATGTCCAAGTGGAGATCGGCGACAAGTGGAGTTCCTCAGGGGTTGGTATTGGGACTGGTGCTGTTTAACATCTTTGTTGGTAACATGTATAGTGAGACGGAGTGCAACCTCAGAAAATTTGCCAACACCAAGCTGTGTGGTGCGGCTGACACGCTGGAGGGCAGGGATGCCATCCAGAGGGACCTGGATAAGCTTGAGAGGTGAGCCCATGCAAACCTCATGAAGTTCAACAAGGCCAAGTGCAGGGTCCTGCACATGGTTCAGGGCAATCCCAAGCACAAATACAGGCTGGGTGATGAGTGGATTGAGAGCAGCCCTGTGGAGAAGGACTTGGGGGGTGTTAGTGGATGGAAAACTGACCATGAGCCAGCAATGTGAACTTGCAGTCCAGAAAGCCAACCATGTCCTGGTCTGCATCAAGAGAAGTGTGGCCAGCAGGTCGAGGGAGGGGATTCTCCTTTTCTTCTCCACTCTTGTGAGACCCCACCTGCAGTGCTGTGTCCAGCTCTGGGTTCCCCAACATAAGGACACAGACCTGCTCGAGTGGGTCCAAAGGAGGCCACGAAGATGATCGGGGGGCTGGAGCAGCTCCCTGTGAGGACAGGCTGAGAGAGCTGGGGTTGTTCAGCCTGGAGAAGAGAAGGCTCTGGGCAGATCTTGTAGCAGCCTTCAGGTACTTAACGGGAGCCTACAGGAAAACTGGGGAGGGACTCTTTATCAGGGAATGTAGTTATAGGATGAGGAGTGATGTTTTTAAATGGAAAGAGTCTAGATTTAGAGTAGATATAAGGAAGAAATTCTTCACTGTGAGGGTGGTGAGACACTGGGACAGGTTGCCCAGAGAAGCTGTGGATGCCCCCTCCCTGGAAGGGTTCAAGACCAGAGTGGATGGCGTTTTGAGCAACCTGGTATAGAGGAAGGCGTCCATGCCCATGGCAGGGGTGTTGGAACAAGATAATCTTTAAGGTCCCTTCCAACTCAAGTCATTCTATGATTCTATGAAATAAGGGAATTGAAAGAATCACTGAAAACTACACATTGTATTTTGGAAACCACATCAGCCCATAACTTCTGGGTGAAGAACATCTGTTTGGAAGGCTCTTAGTAACCATAATAAAGACTTCTAGTTAGATAAGATAATAAAGGATGGGTCAGAAAATGTATGACAAAAGTCCCTGCAGCTAGGAACTGATCAGGGAGTGCCACTGTGGAGCCTGCCTGATCAGGAAGCAGGGAAAAGGGAAAGCTTCATGTTCTCAGCTCCAGTTAAATGGTCTCACTCAAGAGATGAACTACAGACTTCGGACAGAAAAAGTACCATGTGATGAATACCGATGTAATGCATTTGCAGCATTTCTTGACTGATTAGACTTGTATTAGAGTCACTGATACATCATCTATATGGTTTTGTTATATGTACCGATAGCATAATTTGTACTCTTGCCACAAGACTAATGTGCTTGTTAATTGTATGTGTTCTGCATTTAAGTTCATTTAATCTATTAGCTAGTTGTTTGGAACAAACTTTCAAGCATAATAAGACATGATATATGAATTCTCATTAACTTGGACCAGAGAGGAAGAACACAGAATGTCGGAATGTGTTCCCATCAAACACTTGTGTCCTTTTAAATGAATCAAAGCAATTACTTGATTTTTTGACAAATAAATAAACAGATTTCATGAAGAGAAAAAAATAATTAAAATATTCACAATATATTTAAAATGAGTCTTAGTGGCATCAGGTACACCAGGTGCCCTCAACAATTATGCTCTCCTTTGATTTAAACAGACTATGAAATACAAACAATAGCATAGGAGTGTGCAGTGAAACACAAAGGGCACAGACTATTTTCAAACAGTTTGGTTCTCTATTAGAGTAAAAAGAAAGTGGTGGCAGCATATTACTCATTAATATTGCCATCTGCGGTTGACATGGTGCATTGCTTTCATGCCGACACTTTCAAAGTGTCAAATACTTTCTTTGCTTTCCACATAAAACAACGTCTTCAATTCCAATTAATAATTATGGATAAGGCTACAATGAACCTGTAATTCAACTCTTAATGCAAGTTTTACTTTCATGATTTCATTTCTTTGGACTGCTGTTCCCTAGAACATTCTAGAAACAAATGTCAATCACTGCACAATTAAAAATTACTATTTGAAAGCAGCAAATGATGCTAAAAACATTCATTTGTTCTTACAGTCCATATTTAATACAATTAATTTGTCTGTAAAAATCACAATTTGTGTTCTGCTAGCATCAGATCTTTCCCACAGAACAATGCAACTCTCAACA